TATGCTGCTGCAGGACTTTGGCACTTATTTCAATAATCCTATTTCATCTGCGTGGCCACAGACCTCTTACTGGGGGAAAGACCAGTCACATTTTTGGGTGCTGGGCAAGTTACAGCTTGAAGTGGCACCCACAGTCCTCCCTCATGACAATCCTGAGCTTTCCACAGTTGAGATAAAAGCAGGTTTATTTACGTGGGAAGTCTCTCTGATTTTTACCTAGACGTTAAAACCTTCAGCTTCTTCAGGCTGAGAAGCCAGAGACAACCCATAATGGCTATCTTTCTTGTAGCAATGGATGGAACCTTCCTCCTTGAAGAGAAGTCAGAAGTGAACTATCTTTCTCAAGTTTCAGAAATAATTCCCACCTCAACACTGCTCAGCCCTACAGGACTGAATCCATACACCCTGATAAACTGCTGAGATTCCCAAGGATTCCATGCAGTCAAACAAAACACCACCAGGGATGCAGTTGCTACAAATAGTCTATACTTTGTGGCTTTTCATCTTGAACTGGGATTTTGTCCTCTTTCAAACTGTAAGAGTTCAACACCAGGTACAACCTCATGTGGATCTAATTATCACAAACAGGCCAAGCAATCAAGCTCATTATCTAAAACAAGGAAGCAGCTGACAGGTCCCCCTTTCCCCCCCTTTCCTAAATAGGTTTTCTTCTCCCAAAGCATTGCTTGGAAACATTACCAACTTTTGAGTGCTTTGTGTATTATTAAGGATATGAACACTGGCTTAAGAGAAGAGAATAAAGTAATAAAATATTTAGCCAACTCATGAACTTGACATGACTCAACTTCATTGGCATTGTTCCTGAGTTTTCTTCACTTGAAGGATGAATTGTATTCACTTTCTCTCATTTCAGTTACTTAATATAAATTGAAGAGGAATAAAAGATGTTGAATTAAAAAGTTATTCCAACAGCCTTTGAACTCAAGGGAGGGGGGGAAATGAAATCCCATTTTCTTTCATGTGCTTGAATCAGAGTTTCTATCAAGGTACACTGATATTGGTAAACTTGAATATTGTGTTTTTATTCAATCAACTCCACACACACATTCTGGACACCCTTGTTCAGTATTTTATAAGTGTAAATCCAGAGATATTGCACAAATGTTTGAAGTGCCTGTAGAGCCTGGTCTCAGAGACCAGAGCAGTAAAGATGTGCTAAGCCAAAGCACTATCTTAAACCAGCAGCTAGGTTTGCTCAGTCTCACCATCCTATCACACCCATTTATGAGATTTGGTAGTACAAAACCAGGGAGAAAAAGCCAAATACTCCTGCTCCTGACAGGGATGATCTTGTGCCTGTGCCCTGTACTAGATTTAAAGCAACTACATTTTGGGAAGGAAGCACAACATATCTGGTGTTACCTTGGGAAATTCCAGCTAAACCATAAGGCTCTAAAGTGCCAGATACTTGAAGCACTTGAGGAATGGGATGCTATCTTTTCCTCCAACAGATTTCAGAAGCAGCTTGTATTTGATGAGCAGATGTCTATTTTCTCTCACTTTCAGCCCTGCAATTTTGATTCCTGTTACAGCTGCCACCTTTAATTCATTTCTTGTACCTGACAGAGCTGTTCTGAGGTCAGTGACATATTGACTATGGTTCTGCCAACTCTTCCAGCAGCAAACCAGGAACTGGCCATGCCTTTTTCCTGTCATGGGAAGCTAAAAGAAGGGGAACTTGAAATGGGCTACAGTTGGTATTGGTTGTCAGAGTCAAGCTGAGAAGAGACAAGACCCCTTTCTCATTACTTCACTACATGCAGAGTGTGTAAAACCATGCAGACACGAGAAGAAATAATTACAAACTAACCCTTGATCAGTTTAGGAGGGAAATTAGGACATCTGAAATTATTCAAGACATGAAATTTTGTATTAAACTTTCACAAAGTTTCACCAGAGGTCAGAGGACAAAGCAGCCAGTTCAGGTATACGTAAAAATATAATCATCTTCTAATAAAAGTATTCTGAGGGTCTTCCACAGAGTTTAGCATTTTTCTTAATCCCTCAGCTACTGAAGGGAATAGTGGTAAGAGTATTTTATAAAGTTGATCATTGCATGACTTTATGTGTCAAACAGAAAATATTTGGGTGAATAAATAAGACGTTAAAACGACGTTTCTCAATTACCATTGCCTTTCCATTTAAAGAGCTTCGCCTCCATCCGCGTGGCCCGAGTGCCACCTTGTGGACACTCCCTGCAAGTGCACCCGCATCAGCTCTCGGGCTTTAGGCTGAAAAGCCGCGGCAGGAAGGGAAAACACCCAACTCTGCCCATTTCTCATCTGCATGAGAATAAAATGGCACTGTGAATTTTGACGGGGAAGGTGAGAGTCTCTCTGAGATCTTATATCAACGTGACCGCACCTGTAATGTTCAGCTTTCACCCCAAAGACCTGAAAGATCCTGCTCACCTGTTTGACCTCCTTATGACATGAAAACTAGATTTTGTACTTGGTCAGACGAGCTGCTGCACACATTGACATAAAATCTTTAATTCTCTGATTCTGTGTGCAGGCTCTTTGGTTTGCTGAAGAGAAAAGTTCTCCCTTGAGTTTAGGAGGACTGACTGAGGATTTGCCCAAAATTTGCCTTTTCTGTGAACAGCTGTGATGTCTACACTAAAATTACACAGTCTTCTCCATCTTTTACAAGACTGACTGCCCAAGAACAGAAATTACATAATTTGTGAGAGACCTTGCACCGCAAATAAAAATATTTAAATCTCTAGATGTCAATAAAATTTCTTTGAAATAAATACTAAATGAGGGAAACGTGGATTGTCTTTGCTCTCCCATTTCTCCACCAATGCACCTGCTCAACCTGATATGTCCTAGCCAAGGGACAAGGCACTTGGCAGCTGATTGTCTGCTAGAACCTGAGTGCTTCCACAAAGTGATAGCAGCTGCCCATATTTGCTTCTTAGCCTCCTCTTCTTTAGTTTTTATATTATTTCAGATTATCAAAGATATTTATCGAATGCAAGATATGCTCAGTTCTGCTTTCTAGAGCTGAAGTAAAATCTTCTACAGCAAATTAGATAATCACAAGAATCATGTAAGAAGGTGAATCAAAGAAGACTCACTTAAAAAAAGCAGATTTCTTTCATGGCAACATTCTGCTACAAGAGTACGTCTTCTGACACAATAATTTGTAGGCTTTAATAATCTATTTCAGTAAAGTTTGGCTCAATAACTGTAGAACACTGACATCTTCAGGTGTAAGAGCTATTGTAGTGCATAAACAATAGGACAGGCTGAATATAAACCATCCAAATAGGAAATAATTCTTGAAACAGGTTTTCCTTCCAAGATTTACCAATCTGGCTCTTTTCTCTTTGAGAGAATTACACATGGCTCCAGAGACAGTTCCAAATGTTAGCACAGACATGAAAAATACCTGCAGCCTTTCCAATGTGTAATTTGAGTAATGCTTGAAAGGTGTCAAAAGATATGAGGGTTCCTCACAAAATACGCTACTAAGTGTCAATAAAATCTACAGTTCTTTATTGAGACATTTTCCCAAGGATTTACTCATTATGGGAAGGCCAATAATTTCTAATCAATTTATAGTCTTGGTACAAGGGAGCAAAACACGGCTTTGTTTTAGTTTCTCTGTTTCTAGCAGCCCTTTTTCATCACATGCACTCTCAATATTTGGATTAATTTGACTCAAGGCAAGTAAACTGGCTAATTCTGAATTTACAATCATGACAAAAAGTACTGAAATTATGTGGTCCTGTTGAAACCTGTACTATATCCAAGGAACAGTTTATCTACTTCTCAGCACACAGATACTCAACTGACATTTCAAGCAGGTGTTGTTAAAGAAAATAGATTTTTCCTAATAAGGGCTTTTGGTGAATTTTATTCTGGATTTGAAGGCCATAATTTCATAGGATAGTAAGTGATGGTTCTCAGATGTCTCAGAAACAGGTGATTCAAGCAATGTTAACCTATTTGAGAAAGTAACTTACCATGTTGAAGCCTTTTATAAAGTCCTTATAATTTTAAGCATTTTACCATTTAATCTGCTTATCAAAAAGTCCAAGTATTAGCACAAACAATTTTTATTAAAATAATCATCAAGCCAGAGCTCATTTCCTGGAATAAAAGCACCTCAACCCAAATACAGGAACATAAGGACACAGATATTGCAGCTGCCTGGTTAAACAGAATACTCTTGGTGAGGAACTCTGGTAAATATTCTCCCCATCTGGAATCGGTTCAGCTGAAAGTATATTTTTGCTCATCATGAATGAGAGAAAAGGAATAAAATGGCAGCATAATTTTTTAAAAAGGCAATAAAAAGCATATACATGTAACCAATGCCTCTGCTGTAAAATGAAGGAGTTGAAATAGGCGTGTTAAAGACCTAGAAGGAGCTTCAATATAAATATTCCTGATCCTCTGTGCAATGCAGCAGTTCCTACTCCTGGGCATTCTGCACAAATGAATTCTTACTATACCCCAAGGCTGCAAGAAAGACTGGCATGTTATTAAATGACACCTGCATTTAGATGAGCATGGCTAATATGAGTTGCAGCTTCACCAAAATCAGCCATTTACTGACAAGACAGTGCCTTTTACTCATACATGAAGATGGATTTCAAACACCAATGCAGGTCACCTAGCATCCAAACTCTTGGATAATCACTGTATCAAGGAAAATTAGTATCAGCATGCTCAGACACTTCCATATTTAGAAAATAAATTGAAAGTTCGTGTGAACGCACGAACTGTAAAACTCAGGTTTACACAGGAAGACTCAACTCTTGGGTAAATGCACAGCCTTTGAGCACCGATGGATTTCTTACAGGACACTACCGTGCAGGCAGGCCCAGTGCTGCGTGTGCCACAGGAGCTCAGGACAGTAAGGAATGACCATTTACTACTTTTGGTCTCTAGAGGTCCTCCACGAGCTGTAAATGGCTCGCCTTCAGGTCCTGCAGGTTCCGTGCTGCTGAGCGGCATCGGGACCTGCAGCCTGGATTCTCTAAATACCTGAGACACCTCTCTCTGCATTCACCCAAGCAGCTGCTCACACTGCATTTAAATCTGTGCCCAGCTCTAAGAATATGGTGGCAGTGACTGTCACAGGCGTGTCACAAACTAGCAGTTGTCACTAATACAGAAGAGTTAATTAAGCTTCATCAGTGACAGGTGCTTTCTGGCCCTGCCATGCATCTTCATTTTCGGCAATGACAGCACAAAGCAGCCGCTGCTTGTACCAGCCTGAAAGCACAACTCAGATCCAGGGTGCCCGTGGAAACCACTGAATACAGATTGTGATGTAGCTTAGATCAACTGAGGGAGGAAAAAAAACACGTTAAAATGGAAGTTTTTCTGAATTAATTTCAGCAGGACTACTCAACAGTACATGCAGCAAAGACAAGAGGTAATGTGTACAGAAGGGAAATTTATTCTCCCAATGAAGGCGGTAAAGCAGAATATGGGAAATGCCTCAAAGATATCATCAGGTAACTGCACTTTTTGTTAAACAGCAGATGACAAATCCCTTTTCTGCCACTAAAGCACAAGAACTAGAACAGTACCATGGGCACACTGCAGCAGCCTTCTTTTCAACTTCCTTGGCTTTGTGGTAGACCTCTTCCCCTAACTAATTAAGTACAAATAAGTATAACTGAATAATCATTATACATGCAGCTCCATTAACTTATGCCTGCTGATTTAAAAAGGTCGTGTATCCAAGAAAATGAGGAGAAAAAAAATGAAATGTGGGAAAGCAAGGCCTTATGTATATGGACATTCCTGAACAGTACTAATTTAAAATATAATTTTCCACTCGAATTCTCTGGAGTTCTAATTGAGGTTCTAACCTCAAAGTGCTCTTCCTTCCTCAATGAAAGGCTTGTCTCTCCCCCAGCTGCATGGCAGGAGTTTCACTGCAGACCTGAGTGCCACTTCTGAGCTGCCATCAGAGCTCCTGTTCAGCAGAACAACACTGTCTATGCAGGAGTAATGATGTGGGATGCCTTCCCTGGCAGCTGCTTGAGAAACAGGAGTCTTGGAGGAGCAGTGACCTCTCCCTTGGTCAGCTGGTGGCCTTTGCATCGGGCCCTGCTTGGTGGGGGGTGGGACAGACCTCGCTGGGCCTGTGTTTGCCAACACTGCTGATAATTGCAGGCTTGGCACCAGGGTAACCCAGCTTGATGACGCTGTCAATTGTCCTTATCCTGCATCTCACCTTCCCCACCTCCAGTGCATCATTGGCAATTAGCTGGGAGGTACCTGAAGGCAGGGACCAGATCTCTCAGGTACAAGAGCCTGCACACCAGGGTCCAGGGGCCATCTGTGGGCGTCACAACAAATGATAGCCTTGGCTTCTGATTACTCCACAAGACACAGCCCCTGCTTAAGAGATGCTAATGAAATGTTGCTTACTGGATGTCAAAGCATGTTAGTATAAAGAGATTGATTTTATTTTTTTAAGCTGATAACTATCAGATTCTCACAGCTTTTTACTTTCAAGGGATACATTAACTATTGAATGGAGGACTGGAAGTGATAAAATGCTATTTGAGTTATAGAAACTATTTCCAAACCTTGCTTCCTTTTCTATTCAGTTACTAATATATCCTCCAGTGTTACACCAGGAGATTCCAGTCATAAGAATAATTGCTTCAAGACAGTTCAGTATAGTCTGAAATGCCAAATGCCTTAATGCCCACATGGACTCAATTCTGCATTGCATCCTCAGTATGACACTTTTCCAAGAGCCTTAGTCCAGTTTACCTGTCTTAACAGTTCCTCCCTCCCTATTTGTGGATCCCCCTAAAGAACACCACTGCAGTACAAAAAGAATTCCAGAAATAAAAGCCAGGATTGTTTTCACATCATTCATTTAAGACTTCTTTACTTTTTCTTTACCAGCTGAGCTGTGTTTTTCTGAAGCTGTTGTATTGACAAGTGCACCAATGTCTATACAAATGAGATTGTAAATATACAAGTGATTATAAAACAAATACACCAAGTGTTGACTGAGGCCCACAAAAGCACAATTATTCAGATGATAGCATTTATAGGTTGAAAGACTAGACCCCATAAATGCTGCAGTGTGTGAAGGCTGTATTTTACATTATCCCTCCAACAAGTTTGTCAAACTGTGGGCTGGCCCACGCTGCTCTGTGTTGCAGTACTCTATAACAACAGATAATTGGGAGTTCCTTACCCTGAATGAATACTGGGAAACCTCTAACTGTCCAACATATTTAGTTGCTACCTAAAAACAACTCTGACAAAGAATTCTGATGCATTTTTCACACGTGCTCTCCTGAGAGCTTCACTCAGAGTTAACCTCAAGGACACACCTCTCTTACCTAATCAGCGTACAAAGGAGCCAGAACCTCATTCTATATTCCTTTGAAGTTAATTATCCTTACTACTTCTAAGAACAAAACTTCAGTTTACTATAAGTCATTTGTTTTCCTCGACTATTTTGACTTGTTCAATTATTTCTGAATTACAGAATACCTAAAACATTCCAAGAAACAGATGGTAAGACAGAACCAGTTCTCCTCACAAAGAATCATTTTTTTCTGTAGCACGGGGGCGTAGAATATTTGTGATGTTGACATTTGTGCCTTGGTAAATACCAGAATGTATACTTTGTACCACACAAGCCTACTCAGCAAGAACTCATATATACCTGACTGTTCCCAGGGAGCCATCCCATGTCAGAACTGAAAACTGAAATCAGGGCAAGGCAGCTGAACCCAGATCTTCATGAGTAACCTGAGTAATGGGGTTGTACAAGAGTGCTGTAAAGAAATCATAGCGACATAGGACAACTAGAAGTGTTTTTCCATTAATTACAGATCAGGACTTGAATTTTACATGTGGATTTTAATGCCACTGAGGAAACAAAGTGCTCTGAAACATTGGCTTACATTGGTAAGCATTTAAACAGTTCTGATAAACTGGCCAATCAAAACTTGCCTTATTCAAGAGCCTGCACAAAAGTTATAGTAAGGAAAAGTCTAGCATTTGCAAGAATATAAATATTGCATTTAATCCAGAACTTATCCCATGTCTAGAATGGTATAATTATACCCACTGTCCCAGATAATCTGGGAAGTTGTACATTTATGTACTAAAGGAACACAAAGATTTCTGTATTTATTTCTTCACTGTGAAATCAGTAAAGAGAGAAAGCGGTAAACCTGCTAAATCAACACCATTTTTGATATAATTTCAAAAGTCATGTGTGAGGAATGTGCATTTGAGACAATGCTCACATGCTCTTGTATGTAAGGCAGAGTTGTACTTCAACCAAATCCACACATGCCTGAGGTTTCGGTTCAAGCCTATTGTTCAATACTGTATAAACTGGCATGTATTCAACAGTGTTACTAGAGATTAATATGATAGTCATACATTCTTCTTTCTGGAAATAGAGGAAAAGGTATTCAAAATAAGCACTTAAATATATGAAAAGGAAAACACTAGATAAAAAGTTTCTGCATGCTTTCATGATTTTTCATTAGCAGTTTAGGATCTAATTTGTCTTCTCCAGAGGTGGGCTCAGGAATGGCTATTCCCTGACAGAGAGCTGCAGGCCAGAACCTTCTCTCCTACATAATAATGCTTTTGGGCTGGTTTATTACCAATTTTGTGGATCCACTCATGTGGATCATGTTGCTGCACTGGGTCCTTCTACCTTTCTCCCACATGTACATAAATCAACTTTTATTCATGGGTGGACACAACTGTTCCCATTCCCTCAGGCTGCCTCATGACACATGATCTTCTGCTCTGCCATCTGCAAACACCCAAGATCTTCTGATACCTCACCCATGACTTGTTGCTCTGCATCACCTGAGCACACCCATGGTGCACGTACACATTTCTGGCACTTCCAGCAGCTTTCTTCCAAAAGGAAAAAACATCCAAGTTAAATATGTGTTGGAAGGTCTCCTAGACAATAGCATACATAACATTAAACACATAGTAATTTGTATTGGTGAGTTAACAACATTTTTGAGGCATGTCATTCCTTCTCTATGACACCACTTAGATAAGGGAATTTGGGAGGGCTTGCAGATCCCGGATGCTGGATGCACACCCTGAGAGCATCCTGACTGGTGTTTTAATCTGACCTCATAATTTATTCTGTACTGGCCAAAACAAATGAATGAACAGCTCTCCAGACATGCAAGATAATGCAAGACACAACACTTGGAGGCAAGTGTGTGATCTGGATGAGCTGGGAACTGGAATATAGGGGTTTGCCACAGAGCACCCCTGTGGACTAAGGCTAATACACCCTAACCTCTTTCAAGAGCCACTCATAACCTGCAGATTGCAGCCCATAAAAAAAGAAATTAAAAGATTGAGAGCACTGGTACTATTATATGATTTCAATTCTTATGTGGATGTTGATCATGGATTATAGCTGGGCTTGATTCAGCCACTCCCTACTTAAATCTAAAGGTATTGTTTGGTATTTCCAGAAGTGTTTGCAGTAAAACTGACTTCCCAACTGGGAGAGACAGCATTGCCAAATTACAAACTGCTTTTTTACTGCAACCCACTGTTTGCTCTTGTGTCAGCACACCTGTACTTATTTTCTTAGTATGCATTTTAATAGGAGGTTTATTATGCAAGTTGCATGGGGTTTTTTCATGAAGCAGCAGCAGCAGCTGATGATCTTACTGACTGGTGAGCTAAGTGACTCAAGATGCTAATGATCAGAACAAATACTTGACTTTCATATTGTATTTGTTCCCATTGTGATTAGTTTAAGAGCAGCTGTCTCAGAACCCAGACCAAATCACTGCTAGTTAAGCCTTGGCCCTTGCTTGAAAATGCAGGAGAGTATCAGAATATGAATAATAAAACAGAAACCACAATTTAGTATGACACTACTGGGTCCTTGGTGCCACTACTCAGGGTCCCTCAAGAGATGACAAACATCAAGTATTTCTACTTCTTTCTGCCCCTATTTCATGTGGTTTTTTTAAAGCATAGGCAA